TCGGGTTGTTATAAGAAAGCTTGATAAAGAGTCTACGACAGTTTAGTTATAAATATTAATTTAATACCGATTTTCCTAACCGCTTATTGAGACGTTTGCCAAATGTTACATATGTTTATTATAAATTACTTGTAGCCTATTAAAAAGTACAGATAAAGTTTGTTTTTACATAAGTTTGGGTAAGGAGAAGTCACAAGACTTGCCTCTTTTGTAGCGTAAACCTTTTTCTGCAATAAGAATTTGTAAATCTTATACATTATTTTTTGTAAACAACGTGACTATTAAACTGTTTTTATGAATGAATCGTTATCACCTGATTGTCACTCAACAAAGTTTCAAGCATTAATGATGATGAAATAATAGGCAATAGAGGGTAACTATATGTATATAACAATTAGTGAATATAAAAATTGCTACGTAACACTCAGGTTAATGCATACAAACAAAACTCAAATTATGCAAATCCTATTTTGCATATTCGTCATATAATTAGGCAGACAAAGACCTCTTGGCATTTTTAACATTCTAAATTTATTATTGGTTTGCTCCTTCGTATTATACGTACGTATAATGACGCTTATAATGGAAAAAAACTTTAATACATCAATGACCGTGCTTTTCAATTGTGCTACAAGTAGCAATATCACATTGTATTCTCAACGCTGTACTCGTGTATTGGTCTAACGTTTATTGATGTCACTCTTATCCGTTTTTCGTTTACCAATAACGTATTCGGCAGGACTGGGGGGTTTTTTTTCGACGTTGAAAATACGTAAAAGATAAATTGGTGGAAACAAACAAAAACTTAGTCATCTCGTTACGTAAACTGAGAACTTGTTATAGATTGATTCAAAAATCTTTAATTTTAGGCATAATTGAAGACATGATTATTGAGAAAGACAAGCATGTACATGCGTACAGCAACAGCTTGTTTTGATTAAATTATTACGTTCTCATGCTATTCAACACCTGTTTTCATTACTTACTACAACCAAAGTGTAGGTAAAAAGGCTACAGTCAACTCTGTCCATACCGGTGCGAGTGGTTTGGCGATTTTTGGCCGTTATAACGAGAGACCGGTATATGATTCAGCCGTTATAGGGAGGTGAGTTTGATATATAATCTTTTGGTACAGCAAAATTGGACGAAACCGGTAAAAAAAAGGCCGTATAGACAGAGTTGACTGTACACAAATAAATACTGTGGGTATTTCAGTAAAAAGAGACATTGACAATACAAAAACCAATATTATTCTCCGTAAGCATCTAGTAGTTTGACGTAATAGAGCAGAGCAAAGATATTAATCGAGAGTTTAAAAAACGTTTCTATCCAGTCAATCACTTTGCTTATTGCTTCTTCTTTCTTCTAAACGTAAAGCGGAATAAATACTTTTTGATCATGCTCTATTAATCTTGGATACGCCCATATCACGGGGTCACATAAACTTTATTTATTGGTACATCTTGATTACTCATTGATTATATAACAATTTTTCGCTTACACAAAAGCAAAAAGTATATAATATTATTCCAAAGCCTCCTAGAAATAAAAAAAGAAAAGGTCGAGACCCAACTACACATACACAACAACGGTCGAGACCCATCTAAACAGATAAACACATACAACACAGCACTAAACCAAAACTTACAGCCAACATAATGAAGGCAGAACCGTTATACTCTACATTGGATTCGAATAAAGCTAAATACGCCGAGGCTAGCATCGATGCTTTATTCCAACCACACCACCCAACGCAATCTTTCGTTGCTCCAATTAGAGATGCAGCCATGGTCCCAAAAAACATGTTCGAAGCCTTTATAGAGATTAATGGAAGATATTACTTCAACGATTCCGAAACGACTAATTATTGCCCTTGTGATAGTAAGGAAGAAATGCGATCACATAGAATGTATCAAGTGGATAAAATTATTTGGGGATGCCTTCAATCTTCTCCTGTTACGGAACAATTATCATTAGGTGCCAAAGTTCTTGATGTAGGGTAAATATAAATAAATAAACAAATATATATATAAATATAGACAGATGTAATCGTACGCTATTCCTTATTATTATTCCTATACTCTCACTAATATGACTTTGTACACTTAGGAGTGGCGTGGGAGTATGGGCTATGAACACGGCCTCGAACAATTCTCTCTCAACGGTTATCGGAGTAGACATTGCTCCAATGTTTCCTAAAAACAGTTTACCCAATACAGCATTTATCAGATGTAATGTCCTCGATGGATTACCGTTTCCGGACTGCACGTTCGATTTTGTTCGACAAGCATATCTAATAATATGTA